CATATCTGGGTTCTAGTGGCGGCGACCGATCTGTGGATGATTACAAGACTAGTGGGAGAGAAGTAAGGGGAGCGATATTTCAGTCTCTGCCAATTTAGGGTTCTACTTTTGTTAGTCGTTCGTCAATTGCATATGCTCAATATATGATTTAATTATTAGATTCTCCATTATGGTTATTTGGTTGATTCAAAATTGGGGTTTATGAGCTTGTCTCTGCTTTGATGTGTGAATGGCTAGAAGAAGATGATTTCCCCTATCTTGTTTCTGGCGTGAGGAAGAAGATGAAGGGGAAGATGATTTCCCCTATTTCTCCCCCAACCCAATGACAAACAGAGAAAGAAGAGAGGATGAAGCCGGGAACGACGAGACTGACGGCTCGGAGAAGAAGAAAACGGGTCGATGGATCGGAGAGTGACAGGCGGAGATCGGATCTCGTTCTCTGCTCTCTTCATGGGGAAGGGGAAAGGAGAATTGGGGAAAAGAATTAAATGATTTTTCCTTTTGATTATAATAGTGGTGAAAAAAATAATTAAGGAAATTATTTAAAATATAATTTAAACTGAGGTGGCTGACACGTGGCATACATTTGATGACGTGTGCATTCACATCATTGAAGAGTTAACGGTGTTAAAGTTTGTAACGGAAATGGCTAAAATTGTCAAGCAAGTTTTCATAAGTGGCTATACGAGTGTATTTTTCAAAAAGTGGCTATATTTGTCACATCGCGAATAGTTATGGCTATGACAGTGTATTTTGCCTAAGTATCGTGGCAATTTTGAGTACTTTAGCTACAAAAGTTTCTGCTACCAGTAAAAATCAAAGCTACTTATAAGTTTATTCCCTCCAAGTTTTTATTCATGGCAATAATTTTACAATCATATTACTTGCAGCCACTTAATAAAAATTGTGGCCGAAATTGATTTTTTCTCATGTATATTATTATTTGTAGCTTCTGGTAATGCCATTTTAGTTTCAAATCAAATGGTTCGTGGCCAAATGACTTTTAGCCACATCCAAAGATTTGTTGCTAGAACTAGCTTTTGCCGCAAATATCATAAGTGTAGCTAATAATGACACATACGTACGAGGATGTCATAAAATATAAGAGTTAGTAACTCAAACATTCAAATTATAATGCGAGCCGCACAAAGAAAACAAAACAAGCATAACAACCTAGAGCAAGTTTTATAACCTTCCCCTACACGAAAAAGGAAAAAGTTACTTTTGTTTGCTAAAAATTATTTTCATGAAGAAGACCGGCTTTCAGTGTGCAACATATCTCCGTCTGCCCCTTCAATCAAATGCTATAATCATAAGACCGCATGGTGTGTAATGGATTTTATTTCAGTTTGACGAAGTTATATATATAAGTTATCCACTTGAAGTTGTTGCGAACCTGGCTCTGAAGTTGTTGTAGTCTTTGGTTTAATTGAATTAGACCGTTAACCGCTATCTCATATATACGAATATTACAAGTACTACGCACTTTTGAAACACACTAATTAACCAAAATCTGACCATCTAATTAACTAAAATTCAAAATTATATATCCATCAAAGGATTATCATTCTTTACCATAGATTTGGCCATTTGGATACGATACTCACTATAGAATGTTTAATTGCTAAAACTATTAAAAATAATCCATTAATGGATGCTCTTTCTTTATGAATGTTTAATTACTAATACGAATCTATCGATATAATTAACCAAAATCAGAAATACTGCAAAGTACAAACAAAATTGAAGAAAAAAGAAGAGACAAACCCTAAACATGTACCATAAGATGTAATTGGCTTGTTGGGATCATAAGGGAAACACAATCGGGGCATCTTTTTCTATTAATTGATTGGTGTTCTTGGTACGCTGAAAGTTTGCATTCACACTCGTCCCTGAACATGAAGCGAGACACAGCTAAGCGGGAGAGCAGGGGAAGACGAAGCAACTCGTTTTTCTTTGTGAAATGGTAAAATAAACATCAATAACTATAATTCTAAACTTTCAAGAAAACGTTAGTTTAAAAATTGCGGAGTTGTGAGGCATCTAATGCATTCTTGACTTTAAAAACTGTCATAATCTAGCTTTATATATGAAATTTCAAATGAAAAAAATAACAACATATGAGTTGTCTACTCCATTTATAACAATGTTAAGTGAAAAAAGCAACCAATCTGGAATGTGTCTCAGGTGCTAGTACGCCAAGTGGTACCTGCCAAACAAAAATGTACAGTGATCATAATTCTAGTAATTTATATTAATAAATAATTATAGTTATAATAATAAATTAAATCGTAAGGTTGATGTACCTTATGACAAGAAGTCAATGTCAACTTATTCATCCTGATCACTATCATCTCCATATGCACTAATTTCACTATCATGATTGTCATCATCAGAATCAACATGCATCTCATTTCAATCTTCATTAGAGTCTTCCTCCCAACCAATTAGTTCAGCATCTTGGACTGGGTAGGGGTTTGGATAAATAGGATCAGGTGTGTCTTGTTGAAAAGCCTCTTATTGATCACTTGATTGTACATCAGTTGGGTCTTTAGTGAGGGAATCAAACGAGCTTTGAGATTGACCTTTCAAAACAACTAGCCAATTAGGATTAGATCCATCTTCAACATAAAACACTTGTTCCACTTGAGATGCAAGTGCAAATGGATCATCAGTCAATAGCTTACGAGTTGTATTGACCCTAATAAAGCCATATCTATCCATTTTCACTCCCTTGCCGATGTTGTCAACATCCCACCAATCACACTTAAACATGACAGCCCTATTGCCTCCTAGGTGTTGAAGCTCCATTATTTTGGTAATAACTCCATAGTAATCCATAGCTTTTGAACCCAATAATCCTCGTAGCAAAATGCCACTATTTTGCTTCACCTTTTGACTTTCATGATCTCTTGTATGAAATCTAAAACCATTTATCACATAACCATGAAATCTCTCAACGCCACATAGAGGACCTCGAGCTAATGAAATTAGCTCTTTAGTCAATTGTGCATCTTTGCCTTTGCATAGTTCTGATACCTATGAAAATTAAAAAATCCTATATTTAAGTAAATATAGATAAAATCTTTTTTTATATAGATAAAAACAGATATTACATGATGATAAAGCCAGTCATCAAAACCTACGGTAGGATAAGAACTTTCATATTCTCTGCAAAACATAATAACACTAGTTAGAACAAGCTTATATTTATCAGCTAATATAAGGCATGTTCCATGTCCTCTTTCTGTCGGCCGACTAAAGGATTGTATATGCTGCATTACAAATCCAAAGTTCATGCATACGGACACCAAATCATTAGACATCTAGCATTAATATTATACTGATCCAAGTCCGTATGATAACCTATAGTTTCTTTTCTCATTCGTCACACCATATCATATCAGGCAATCATCGGACTAATAAAAGGATATACTTTAAGCACGTTCCAGGTGAACCGTTGCAGCAGAATCAGACTAAAAAATTTGAACGAGTACAATTAAAGTATTCCTTCCCAACCCATACTAACATAATACCCACACTTCATATATATATATGCTAAAGTATTATACGATTGTATAATTCAAAATCACAAGTTCTCTGGTCATGGATAGATAAAAACATTATTCTAGAGAGTAATCAATTGAAGTAACATAATAATTAGGAGACATACCTTAAGAATGGTTCTACTTCTTCACAATTGTTTAAAATGTAGAGATGTGCTTGATTTATTTCTAATTCCTCCAACAATCTATTTTCATCCATGGTTAACGGATTACCAGCACGTGCAAAAACTGATAATTTCTTACTTGAAACACTGTCATCTCCATCAGCATTTCTTTCAAGTTTATTGAATGGATTTTTTATCCCTTGTAAGTGCCTTGAACAAAATATGATACTTTCTTCAACAATATATCCTTCTGCCATTGAACCTTCAGGATGAGTTTTATTTCGGACGTAACGTTTCAATTTTCGAAGATACCTATTTACAGAAATATATGATAATCAATAATAAAATCTCCATCGAATTCAAATGTCACACTTCAAAATAATAAAAATATAAGGCAAACATTAAATTACCTCTCAATAGGGTACATCCATCTGAGTTGTACAGGTCCAGCAAGTTTTGCTTCGGTAGCAAGATGTATAGTCAAGTGGACCATAATATAAAAAAATATGGTGGGAACAATCTCTCGAGCTTGCACAATGTTATAGGAATCGAAGACTCAAGGTGTTTAAGCACATCTACACTTAATTCTCTTGAACACAACTCTCTAAAATATATGCACAATTCTGTGATGACATCATAAACACTTGGACGAACAATTACACGTAAAGCAAGAGGAAGGAGACGCTCCAAGATAATATGGGAATCATGACTCTTTATACCAAATATCTTTCGATCTTTCAGCCTCACACAATTCGAAATATTCGAGGAAAACCCATCTGGAACTTTTACTTTCTTCAAAAATGTACACAACCTCTTCTTTTCTTCTTTAAGCAAACCGTAACATGCATGTGGCAATTTACATTTTCCATCTTCCTCCACCGGATGCAACTTTCTTCGTATTTTCATATGCTCCAAATCGCGCCGAGCATTCAGACCGTCCTTTGTTTTCCCCTCAATGTCAAGTAGAGTGCCAATAATATTATCACATACATTCTTCTCGATGTGCATTACATCAAGATTATGGCGCAACAAAATCTTTTTCCAATAAGGCAATTGGAAAAATATACTTTTCTTCTTCCAATTCAAATACTTTTGACGATCATATTTTGTAATCTTCTTATTCTCACCTTTTCCGAAATCATCGAATACAAGCCCTTCATGTTGTTTCAGCACCTAATCACCAAATAATTGTGTTGGAGGAGATCTTTTTTCTACCTTTCCATCAAATGACCACTTATTATCGCGCCATTTATGATCAGAAGGTAAAAACCGTCTAGCACCCATGTAAGAAAACTTACACCCTTTTTTCAATCTAATGGAATGAGTCTCCTTATTGCATGAAGGACATGCTAATGCTCTCTTTGTCTCCATCCTGATAAGTTTGCATAAGCAGGAAAGTCATTAATCGTCCATAATAATGTTGCACGCATGCAAAATGTTTCTTTCTTTGAAGCATCAAATGTATCAATGCCATAATATCATAATTCTTTAAGCTCCTCTACCAAAGGCTGCAAGTATACGTCAATATCATTTCTTGGAGCTTTAGGACCAAGTATCAACAACGACATCATGCAATAGGATTGTTTCATACACATCCAAGGAGGTAGGTTATATGCAGTGACAATAACTGGCCAAGTACTATGAGAACTTTCCATGTTGCCAAAAGGATTGACACCATCAGCAGATAGCCCAATTCTAACATTATGAGGTTCTCGAGAAAAACCTGGATTTGCCTTATCAAAAGATCTCCACACTTCAGAATCTGCTGGATGTCTAAGAACCCCATCTTTCAGACGCTCATCATGATGCCATCTCATACTTGATGCTACTTCTGATGACATAAATAATCTCTACAACCTTGGGGTTAAAGGAAAGTAACGCAAAACTTTGTATGGAACTCCTTTCCCCTTTGGTAATTTCTTACAATTTTCCTCCACTTTGTACCTTGGCTCTCCACAGTGTAAGCAATTTTTCACATCTTCATGCTCTTTCCAAAATAACATATAATCATTCCTACATGCCTCTATTTCCCTATAATCAAGACCCAAATCTTTGATCATCCTTGATACGCCCCTGGGGGGGTGTATGTTATCAAAGTCACGCAGCTAACGACTCAATCGAAGAATCGATTGAGCTCGAATCAAGAACAAAGCGTTCTTAATAAAATCTTGGATAAAACGGAACCAAAAGGACGATTCCACACCTGGGGAACGCTCGATTGGTATAAAAGGTAGATGCCCGACCACGATTGAAGTGACTATTCAATCGATACAAGAGCTCACGAGCTTGGAATCCACCAAACTCAACACAAGTCGCAACTTGCACAAAACCAAAGGGTTTATTTTTCGATTAATCCAAGTCTGAATTTTACAACGAAATAGAACGGTATTTAAAGGAAAATAAAACCTAATACAATCATAGTATAACTAGGAAACAATTAAGGTAAAATTCTACACTAAAAAGGACACCAAATTCGGGTTTAAACTCCCTTTCTTCAAGCGCAAGTAAGCTGCCAGCAACAGTCCAAAAGCAGCTTTTGTAGTAACTTCGCGCCTTTCGTTCGAGGCCTTCCCGAACTCCAATTCTTCAACCAATTCCTTCCCTCTGTTCACAAACATACCTAGTTTCACATTGTGGAAGCCTTTGGACTTGAATAAGATCCATACTCCTCGAATTAAGCTCCAAAGTAGGCTTCACAAAACAGTTTCCAGACTTAACCATTTTCTGGCAGTTTTCCAGTTTTGAGGTAGCAATTTTGAGGCCTTGAAAAACAACCTTAATGACATCATCTGGATTCACAAAGCATACCATTGGAAAGGTGGGAACTTTATCTCCAAAACAAACTCTTAAAATGGAATTTCCACCAATCCAATTGAGAGAACCATGCCTCCAAAGTATGTACCCTGAACACGGATTTTGACTTGGCCAAATTCTGCCCTTCTTCTTTCCAACCTTGATAGCTTCTTTGGCAAGTAATTGTGACTTGTAGAAGTGGCCAATTTGGATCATATCAGGCTCCCCCTCTTCAAAAATCTTTGCCCTCAAAGCTTGATCGTTCCTCTTGTCAAAACCTTCGCAGAATTGATCCCAAATTGGATCCAAAGTAGGTTGCTCAAACTCAATTTTCGGCATAAAATTTGAAGCTTCAAATCCTTCTTCAGTCAACTTCAGCCGTTTCGTGGGACACCAAGGCTCACCTGTCACACAATAATCCACAAAATTTGGACCCAAAATCAGTTCGTGCCCATTGTCGAACTCCGGCGAAGATTTCCCAGAATCCGGCGTCAGCAAGAACTCCGACGAGAGCTCCAAATTTGGTGCTTTCTTCTCGAGGCCTCCTCGTTTCAATTCGTTGCTCGAAATCGACTCTAACCACTTCCAGGATTCGATTCCACCTTCTCCCGCGCATCGAACTCGTCCAATTCGTCTCCAATTAAGCCTCCCGTGTTTCGCGCCGTCGCAAAATTTTGAATTCCCAGAAACCGGCAAAGCAAACCCAGTTTCCGGCGAGTTTGAAAAAAAATTGGGTGTTTTTAATATAGGGATTCTAGAGTCAAATTGACGACTCCGACAGCTTCCTGGGACTTCTTCGAACTTGTTCTTAGCCTCCAATGGTTTCGATTCAGCCCTGATCTCCTCAACCAATTCTCTCAATTTTTGGTCGTTTTTACTCAAGTTCAGGGGCGTTGCGGGTCGATCTCGATTCTGCAATTGGGCTTGAATCGACACAAACCACTTAAGGGTGAAGATTCTCGATGTTACCGAGATCAGTTCTGCGCTGGTGGTATTGCTCGACTCATCGCCGGTGATTCCAACCCATTCATTCTCTCTCTTGCTCTGCTCCATCGTCGCCGTCAGCAGAGGTTTTTTTCCGAGAATTGAATATGGGCTTTCAGTGATACTCGCTTCCTTTGAAGCTATTTCCAACGTTTCTGGGTTCATGGGTAACGTGTCGACGTCCTCTTCCAGTCTCGACACTCCTCCGAGTGTTCCAGCCACGCGAGCCGATTGAGGACTCTGTTTCCTCCGAGAAGAACAGAGGTCGTCAGCTCTGACGAGCTGGTTGCTTTTAACGTGCCGAAACTCCAGCTTCTTCAAAGGCGGCTCCCAAGCTGAAGCCTCCACTGCCTTAGCTCGTTCCTCCTCTTCACGGAGCTGTTGTAGCAGGGTTGATCGATCTTCAGCCGCTTCCTCCAGCGATAGAAACTTCAAAGCAAAAGTTGCTCCACAATGCCGCAATCTCACGTGGTTCGTTCTTCTGCTCCTTCTAGCATCGTTATCATCGTGCCAAGGCTTGCCAAGCACAACATGAGTCAATTTCAAAGGCACCACGTTGCACCGAACCACATCTTCGTATCTCCCAATTCTGAATGGTAGGCTTACTTCCTCTGTTACGAAAACAGAGTCTTTTTCCTCCAACGATGGCAACGAATAAGGGACTGGAAGTTTTCGAATTGGCAGCCCCAATTTAGCCACTGCACGAGAGCTAATCAGGTTTGATTTGATCTCACCATTGACGTACACAGAGCACACCTTCTCTCCCACCAAACAGCGAGTATAGGATGTCAAATTCGCTTGTTCTAATTCGCCCACCATTGCTGCCCTGTTTCTCGACAAATTCTGCTTGTACGAAACGATTGATTGCTTCTTCTCCTTCGCCCTCGTGTAGAACCAGGGACCTGTGGGTTATGGGCCACCTGATATGATCCAAATTGGCCACTTCTACAAGTCACAATTACTTGCCAAAGAAGCTATCAAGGTTGGAAAGAAGAAGGGCAGAATTTGGCTAAGTCAAAATCCGTGTTCAAGGGTACATACTTTGGAGGCATGGTTCTCTCAATTGGCTTGGTGGAAATTCCATTTTAAGAGTTTGTTTTGGAGATAAAGTTTCCACCTTTCCAATGGTATGCTTTGTGAATCCAGATGATGTCATTAAGGTTGTTTTTCAAGGCCTCAAAGTTGCTACCTCAAAACTGGAAAACTGCCAGAAAATGGTGAAGTCTGGAAACTGTTTTGTGAAGCCTACTTTGGAGCTTAATTCGAGGAGTATGGATCTTATTCAAGTCCAAAGGCTTCCACAACGTGAAACTAGGTATGTTTGTGAACAGAGGGAAGGAATTGGTTGAAGAATTGGAGTTCGGGAAGGCCTCGAACGAAAGGCGCGAAGTTACTACGAAAGCTGCTTTTGGACTGTTGCTGGCAGCTTACTTGCGCTTGAAGAAAGGGAGTTTAAACCCGAATTTGGTGTCCTTTTTAGTGTAGAATTTTACCTTAATTGTTTCCTAGTTATACTATGATTGTATTAGGTTTTATTTTCCTTTAAATACCGTTCTATTTCGTTGTAAAATTCAGACTTGGATTAATCGAAAAATAAACCCTTTGGTTTTGTGCAAGTTGCGACTTGTGTTGAGTTTGGTGGATTCCAAGCTCGTGAGCTCTTGTATCGATTTAATAGTCACTTCAATCGTGGTCGGGCATCTACCTTTTATACCAATCGAGCGTTCCCCAGGTGTAGAATCGTCCTTTTGGTTCCGTTTTATCCAAGATTTTATTAAGAACGCTTTGTTCTTGATTCGAGCTCAATCGATTCTTCGATTGAGTCGTTAGCTGCGTGACTTTGATAACATACACCCCCCAGGGGCGTATCAATCCTTCTATCTTTATAAAAAGATTTGGGCAAAGTCTCTCCAGCAGGATGTGCCTCTTTAAACAACTTCAATATGTCTTCAATTACAGTATCACTTATTCCATAAAGGCACTTGATTTGGAATAACTTCACAATAAATGATAACTTTTTAAAGTTCTCACAATTGGATTGTAGTTTTTGTTCAACATCCTCTAATAGCCTGAAAAACTTACCTGTTGTCCCATTATGCTTGGGAGGTTCTTCTAGATCGGGCTGAACTATATCTTCTTCTGAGGCATCATGCATTATAAAATCCACAACTTCAGGCCCTCTGACATCTTTAATCAAATCTATCATTCTACCACAACCTTCCCCCCGTACCAATTCATCGACAAAATGCTCATCTTGGACAAAGCTCTCTCCGTGGTAATACCATCTTGTATAAGATTTAACAATCCCATCCATGATTAAATGAGCATTCACTTCTTCTTTGGTAAAGTGTAAGACATTATACACTTCTTGCAAGGACACCAAATCACACCTTTCTCGTTGCCGTTGGTTGATGCAAAATCCAGGAAATCATCTACTCCTTTAATGTACTCTCTACTCAATCTATATGTAACTTGCATCCAGCTTCTGTCCATCTTGTTAATCTACACTGAAACATATAAGTTGGGTCAGGAAACAAAGAATAATAAAAATGCTAACAATTCTACAAATATATATGTCAGGCATAGGCATTCAATTCATAATTCGGGTTTCTTCTCAAATTGACGATTTACCAGTAAGCAAGGAGGGCCCTATGTCATGCATATAAAAAGAACGCTACAACCAGTATAGCAATTTAGGTTAAATTTACTGTGGAGAAAGAACGATTTGCAATTCTCACCTAATAACTGGGCGGACGTGTTCGATAGTGAGAAGAAGGAATTCCTCGCATACATTAGTCAATATCTTCCATTGATTGATCGCTGAGTTAGGAGGATTTGATTGCCAGGGTTAAAGATAGAAGACGGTTTGATGGTGGCCAAAGAGTGAAGGAAGAAATCGGGATACTGAGCAGGAATTGCGGATTGAAGAGGAAGGCGAAAGGGTCTTTGTTCGTTGAAGAGAACTAAAGGGAGTTACTTTATGCACAGGGGACAAAGGGGTTTTCTTTTGCCAAAAAATATCAAATTATTTAGAAAAGTAAATTCAGTAGTACATAAATTAGACCATCCAAGGTTTAGCTACTAATGGACAAATTCGTTTATTGTTTACAGTTGAACGAAAATTTCTTAACAATCATTAAAATTATATCGTAAAATAAATCATAATATTTTTGTTAAATTTAAGTTAGTAATTAGGGTGACAATCGGTAGTGGATTGCATAATGTCGATAAGGAGCCTAGAAAATGAATAGATAAATAAATTAGTAATTCATGTTGGATGGTCTTAGTTTACATGAAATGTTTTCTTAATTTTCATGTGGTTAAAATAGTGAATCAGTAGACCAGTCAAACCAAGATGGTTCGTCTGGTTCATGTCCAACCATAAAAATAAAATTAATAGAAAATAATTCTTGTAATAAAAGAAATCTAACAAGATCCATTTTACTACTTTTAAATTTTTGAATTTTTGCTATATTTTATATTAAAATTATATTTGAACATTTTACAACACCTCTTATATTAAAAAGGTACTTTTAGTAGTTTTTAGGCAAACATTCAACTACTTTGTTTGAAAAGTGTGTTTCTAAGACCTCTTATATTAAAAATTTACTACTTTTAAGTTTTTGAATTTTTGCTATATTTTATATTAAAACTATATTTGAAATTTTACAATACCTCTTATATTAAAAAGGTACTTTTAGTAGTTTTTAGGCAAACACTCAACTACTTTGTTTGAAAAGTATGTTTCTAAGAGCTCGAGTCAAAAGTTTGCTTTTGCAAAACCTACAGCAGAGCCAAACTAATCATTTTACATGATCCTCTTACATTAAAAATTACATCTAATAATTTTTTAGCTTAACAATCAGTTGCCATTTTAAATATTTCTTTAAAAGCTCTCGTAGGAAGCTACTTCTACAAACGATACAATAGTCCCAAACTAGGCATTGAAGGCATACCAAGTTATTGGAAGGGAATTATTTTGCCCCAGTTAATGTAAGGTTACATTTTTGGATAAAGTTTGGCAAAATTAAACGTTTCCCCTTTATGAGAAGTAGCACATGAATTAGGATGACTATAACATGCAATACAAATTGAAATCGAGTATACTCACATAGAGAAGATAATGCATAGGAAATAGTGTTGCTCGAGGAGAAATTACTTTGCACATAGAGAAGATAATGCATCAAATAGGAAAAACCATTGACAAAGTAGTTAGTGATGATGACTTCAAGGAGAATAAAGAGACAGGGGATGAGAACAAGATTAATTCAAGATGTCCATTTGGGGACTCTTTGAATATAATTTTCCTTCATCATGACCAAGATAGAAAATATGAAGACGAGTTGAAGGAATCTCCACCATTTTGTGATAGGAAACTAGCTCAAATGGCATTCAGGATAGCCGGTACAAGGCCCAAAATGATGCTAGAGAATTGAAGAACTAGAGTGGGAGGATTATCAAGAAATCATACGCACTCATCGTCGGAATGGATTTAATCCACATTCTTGTTGAACCAACAAGAGGAAACTCAAGTGAAAGGGGCAATGGATGGACATATCATTATGAATGGTCGTCATAATAAAAGAAGCATGCTAAGCCTAGCTCAAAATCATAAAAGTGAGAGCATTTCTTGGGAGGCAACTCATGTCTGGTGTCAACATTAATGATGTTGAATAAAAGTGCTACTAAGGAGACAACCTAGATTTCTCTTTTCCTAGTTTTAATTGCTTTTGTAAGTCGAGGTATGGATAGTTAGATGTGAGTAGTTAATCATTAGAAAGCCTCGTGGAGTACGACCCAATGCATTCCTAAAATTTTATCACTTGTTTATTACTACACATCATAGGGACGTTGATGCTAGAGGCTTTGTGGGATCTTTGTATCCAATGGTAAATACCATGGCTCTCGTCCCAATGACCGACTAGTGCCCATAGTTGTATAGCTTTGTGAATCCTATAGGTACTTACAATGTATTCTCAAATTTGGCATAATATGATTGATTTTAGACTTCCTATCCATTGTTTTTTATTCTCTTATGTATTCTTTTGTTGGATTACATGAGTTCCTAAGTCTAGCTTGCATCCCTTCTTGGTGCAAGTACCAAATGCTAGTCGCATAGAATAAGACCAGTCATGGCAGTTCTATACAATCGATCATCGTTCGATTAACTAGCGTGACACCTCAAGGGAGAGATCCTTAGGTTCTTTGTTTCCTATTAGATCGAGGCAAGAAACATTCGGCACAAGGTATGATCATATTACATAAAGATCAAGCAAAACATATTTTTTCTGGATTAAGATACGAGTCAAGAAACTCTAGGGGGAGCTTGCATTTGCAACGCTTCATCCTCATGCTTCCTTCACAGCTATTAGTGTAGCTTTCCTTTTCCGCATCGCTTTTCAGTTTGAGTTTTATGTAAAACTAAGGGATACTTCAACTGCAGAGGAATCTCAACATCCACATTCGTTTTAAACCACCACAGAACTCGTCCCTCGCCACTTGAGTAAGTGGCTGTGAGAGACACTAGAGAATACGATCTTGGCCTTACGTCTAGGTAAATTTGGAACATTCACTACAACGAGATCATTTCTCTTTGTGGAGTTTATGGTCTTTGTTGTTTCCTCTTTCCTCTTGGTCACTTTAAGGCTACACTCTCTTACATGTAGTAGGCAGGAGCGCGACCACTATCGCCAGAGCACTATGTCACTTTGGATTTCGTTCAAATAAGGCTCTGATACCACTTTGTTAAACAAAATAGAAAGCAAACTACTAATTTGATTGAATGATTGAAATCTAGTTTAACTACAATATTACAAGCCCTTGGCTTGTGCAACTAACTACCAATTATCCCTCATTCTCCTGGAAACTAGTTAACACTAACAACACTAAAAACCCACACTTATTTCTTTGCTAAGTACTAACCCAACTACACTTAAACAAAACATACACAACCCAACATCACCAACAATAATAAAGATTTAACAGCAATAACTTTGAGTGACTCTCGTGTCAATCATGTGCATCATGTTCCAAGAAACATGAATCAGATTGTTTACTTAGTTCACCTCACTTATTGTTAGTGGTGGGCACACAGGAGATGCCACGTTTGGGACTTCGAGTTTATTTTCAGAAATGTTAATTTCCTTTTTGTTCAATTCATGGGGAATTGAGGAGCTAATTAAGACTTAAGAGGGGTGGGTAGAATTAAACCTGATGAGTTAGCAGCTATTTATCTGTTAGTGAACTAGATGAAAAAGTAGACGGAGGTTAAAAAAATTAATGATACATGACACACTAATTTTAGTTAAGTGATATGACTCCTATATATACCCAACTAAAAAAATAACAAATAAAAAATAAAACTTTAATCCCTAGCTATCCTCTCTCCATCTCTCGATTTCCTTCTCCTCCCATATCCCCGTTGGCTGATTTCTATCGTACTCAATCCACCGCCAGCGGCAAGATCGTCGTCATTAACTCCGATAGTAATCTCGCTCTGATTAACTTCTTATTACAGTACCTAACAGTGCATCTGACCCCAACCTGGCACATCCCCTTCCGTCGGGAGGTAACAGGACTGAGATTCGCGTCGGAGAAACTCAGACGCTCGGGCCAAATGCCAGTGTCGAAAACCCCAATGATGACGTTGGAACCAAAGTCGGACTCGGACCAAAGCCCGCACTGGTTTTGGAGCCCGAGGAACGAGGGGATCTGGTGGTGTGAAGCTCCGGGGTGCGGTCCTCGAACACGGCGAGGAGAGTGGGGTGCCGGCTGAGGGAGGCGACGTGGTCCGACGCCAGCACGACGAAGAAGTCGTGGAAGATGGTGTTGTAGACATGGAGGATCTGCGGGGTTTGCCGAACTCAACGGAGTACCTGTTATATTGAATGGGGATGATGGAGGGCTTGGATTGGGAATGGACCCAGAAAATGAATCTTTTTGGTGGTCACCACCAGAATTTTTTTATAGGGTGTCTGTAACATCCCGAACCTTTTCCCCACGAAGATATTGTCCACTTTGGGACTCGACTCTCACGGTTTTTGACTTGGGGTGCAATTCAAGGTGACTTCCCATAAGGTCACCCATCCTTGTTGTACTACACACTGAGCACGTTTAACTTCGGAGTTCTCACAAGAACTCATCCGTTTCACTCCAAAAACGCGTCTTGTCAGTTAATGTCGGTTTCCTACTTATGAACCATGGATCTCTCCCGTGCTTTGTCGATGTGGGATTTGCCTAAGGTGTTACATACCCCCCCCCCCCTCTCCCCCCTGGGACTCAACGCCCTCGTTGAGGTTTGCCCCACCATCGTTCAAGAGGGACGCAGAGAGGCTCTGATACCACTTGTAACATCCCGAATCTTTTCCCCACGAAGATATTGTCCACTTTGGGCCTCAACCCTCACGATTTTTGACTTGGGGTGCAATTCAAGGTGACTTCCCTTAAGGTCACCCATCCTTGTTGTACTCCACACTGAGCACGTTTAACTTCGGAGTTCTCACAAAAACCCATCCGTTTCACCCCAAAAACACGTCTTGTCAGTTAATGTCGGTTTCCTACTTATGAACCATGGATCTCTCCCGTGCTTTGTCGATGTGGGATTTGCCTAAGGTGTTACATACACCCCCCCCCCCCCCTCTCCCCCTTGGGACTCAACGCCCTCGTTGAGGTTTGCCCCACCATCGTTCAAGAGGGACACAGAGAGGCTCTGATACCACTTGTAACATCCCGAATCTTTTCCCCACGAAGATATTGTCCACTTTGGGCCTCGACCCTCACGGTTTTTGACTTGGGGTGCAATTCAAGGTGACTTCCCATAAGGTCACCCATCCTTGTTGTACTCCACACTGAGCACGTTTAACTTCGGAGTTCTCACAAGAACTCATCCGTTTCACCCCAAAACGCGTCTTGTCAGTTAATGTCGGTTTCCTACTTATGAACCATGGATCTCTCCCGTGCTTTGTCGATGTGGGATTTGCCTAAGGTGTTACATACACCCCCCCCCCCCCTCTCCCCCTTGGGACTCAACGCCCTCGTTGAGGTTTGCCCCACCATCGTTCAAGAGGGACGCAGAGAGGCTCTGATACCACTTGTAACATCCCGAACCTTTTCCCCACGAAGATATTGTCCACTTTTGGACTCGACCCTCACGGTTTTTGACTTGGGGTGCAATTCAAGGTGACTTCCCATAAGGTCACCCATCCTTGTTGTACTCCACACTGAGCACGTTTAACTTCGGAGTTCTCACAAGAACTCATCCGTTTCACCCCAAAACGCGTCTTGTCAGTTAATGTCGGTTTCCTACTTATGAACCATGGATCTCTCCTGTGCTTTGTCGATGTGGGATTTGCCTAAGGTGTTACATACACCAAAAAGACACTTACTAGGATTAGAACCATGACCACTTTAAAGAAAAACAAATATCATAACCAATCACACTAAGTATATTCGTTAGGCAAATCCCACATCGACAAAGCACGGGAGAGATCCATGGTTCATAAGTAAGAAACCGACATTAACTGACAAGACGCGTTTTGGGGTGTAATGGAGGAGTTCTTGTGAGAACTCCGAAGTTAAATGTGCTCAAGGTGAAGCACTTCAAGGATGGGTGACCTATGGGAAGTCACCTTGAATTGCACCCCAAGGCAAATACGTGCGGGTGTAGAGGCCCAAAGCGGACAATATCTTGTCGGGAAAAGGTTCGGGATGTTACAAGTGGTATCAGAGCCTCTCCGCGTCCCTCTTGAACGATGGTGGGGCAAACCTCAACGAGGACGTTGAGTCGCGAGGGGGGGGGGGTGTATGTAACACCTTAGGCAAATCCCACATCGACAAAGCACGGGAGAGATCCATGGTTCATAAGTAGGAAACCGACATTAACTGACAAGACGCGTTTTGGGGTGTAATGGAGGAGTTCTTGTGAGAACTCCGAAGTTAAACGTGCTCAAGGTGAAGCACTTTAAGGATGGGTGACCTATGGGAAGTCACCTTGAATTGCACCCCAAGGCAAATACGTGCGGGTGTAGAGGCCCAAAGCGGACAATATCTTGTCGGGAAAAGGTTCGGGATGTTACAGTGTCCTTGTAAAAAAATGATTAAATTAAAAACTAAATGATTAAATTAAATAATTCATAATAAAATATATTACTAGTACAAATTTTATTAAAATGCCATGACGTGTTTTTCATATTCTGAAAAAGAATATAAAATCAATCGGTGTCATACGGCTCAACAAATATGTATATCCTACTAGACAATAATTCACGAACGGATCGCATATTCGATTTCTAACATTATTCTTGATGTAACTCAAAGTTGAAAAAAGTCTTTCAACACGTGCAGTGCAACCATAAAATCAATTCAAATTAAGAGTAGCCCGTTATTAGTCTAATTGTTAGATTTTGAAAATATTTGGGGATAAGGAATAATATTTTTACTATTATATAGTGTTCAAATTTAACAACAAATGAGTTGCAAGCTAATAGAGAATATGTTTAATGATAGTATGTCCCTGGTATGAATAACACTGATTATCACTTATATTTATTTGAATCATACGTAAACTACTATTGAGAGTAGGATAATCATTTTTCAAATTTTAGCAGTGTCCCAAATTATCAATTATATTATTTTTATTCATACGAAACTACTATCAGGAGTTGAATAATCGTTTTACCAAATTTTAAGGGTGTCTTGGGACACCCCTAAAGCAGCATGTATCCGCCCCTGCCACCGCTGCCGCAGGGGAAGAGAAGAGGTATTGGAAGGACAAAATGAGGAGAAGGTGGTGGGGAAGTAGAGACAAAAAAATTTTACTTGTAGGGTCATGGACAACTTGGGCTTCGACGCCGTTCCAGAAAGTTATTAGGGCATTGACAATTTGGGCTTCATAAGCATACAAATTTTTTTCTAATACAAACCATAAATGCTAAACCAACCTCAAAAAGCATACCAAAAACCTACTAAAGCAGACCATCTATTGTATAAAACAAACTAGAAACCGCATAAATCAAACCATAAACATTTCATAAGCACACTAGAATCCTTCTAATATAAACCACAAGCACGGTAAAGCAACCCACAAAAACATATTAGAAACCCGCTAATGCAAACCACAAGTCTCCTAAAACATACCAGAAACCCCACAAAGCAAACCACAAAATTTTCAAAAGCACACCAGAAACCTCATAATGCAAACCACAAACATGGTAAAGCAAACCACAAAAATCTAACCAGAAACGTCCTTATGCAGACCATAAATCTATTAAAACAGACCATAAACCTCACAAAGCAAACCACATAATTTTCGAAAGCACATCAGAAACTTCTTAATGCAAACCACAAACACGATAAAAAACATGAGAAAGCAAACCATAAAGCTCACAACGCAGACCACAATACCCGGTGATCGATGACCGGTCAACGAAGACCATTAACCAAACATTAGACGACCTCTGGTGACCGGATTTTGGCGCCAATAAGCATATTCCAGCCCCGATCACTAGATTCTGACTCCGGTAAGTATCTTTTGACCACGGTGACCGGATTCCGGTGACGGGAAGCATATTTTCAGCGATGTTGAGCATATTTCTGCCATGAAGGGAGGATTCCGACGATATTTAGCATATTCCGACGACCACACGACCAGATTCTAGTGATCGTCGAGCGGATTCCGTCCACCAAAAAATTGAACAGAATTTTTTTTATATAATTATTTAATTTTTATCATTAATTTAAGTTTGTATTGATTGTTTAAACATAATATTTATAATAACAATTATACTCTTTCGTTGATTTTACACTAGGTCAACCTAACTAAAAAAATCATTACAATCCTAGCTTCTTATTAGTTGGAGACTAGTGTTGTCACCATAACAACAACAAAATAAGTGTTGTTATACTAACTCATACCGTAGAAGAAAGGACTTTATTGGGAACGATAGGCAGATAAATTTGCTGGAACATTCTATTGTTTGAGTCGACAGAGAGGGAGGATGAGAGAGAAAACTCTTTCTGTTATTTTCTAATTCTGAACGTAAAATTGGAAGATTTACCGAGAAAAAACAGAATAAACTATTTACCAAAATCATAAAATGATGCAGTAATTCATGGTCAATTGGCGAGTTCTAGAGGTTTGTGAGAGTTAAATGGGTGATAAGGTTTGGGTTGTATCATGATGGACATGATCCATTTATGATTTTTAATCAAAATGAAATCATTTTAGTTAATCTGTAACAAACAAATAATGTATTATTTATTTTATGAATTCAAAAGCTAAATTTTGATGTTATTTATTGGGTTTAAGTATAAACGGTTAGATTTTAAATATTGTATTTAAATATGAGTATTTATTATTTTATTTGAAATTCATATTTTGTTTAAATATGAATATGGATTGTAAGTAAATTTTCTTCAAATATTTTGTTATATATGAAGAATTCATTTGATTTTAATGATTTTTCTTTTTTTCATATTTATTTTTTATTTTTCGGTAATTAGTGTAATCTATGAAGGACCTTCTTGGCCAAATCAACGCAAGAGTCGAAAAAAGTACTTTGGCCTAAGCCATACAAAACGTAATAGATCAAGCTATCACTACCCTAACCCATTATACTAATTGAATTTGCTCATAAAATTCTGGGCTTCCTAACATATACAAATGAATCTCCTCCTTAAAAAGAGAGGCCAGAGTGTTTGCACTCCTAGCTGCTTCACCAAAGACCCTTCTACAACGCTCCTTCCACAGCAGCCCAACTCCCTAGAATCATAAAGAGCTGAAAATCTACCCTCCATTTTTCCTGCTCCTGTCTGAAATGGCATCTTCCATCTGTTACCAAT